TATATATATACTTAAATTATATTCAAACGGACTTAAAAAACAATGTTGAATCTCATATAACTTAAGTTGGTTAAATTAATTAGATGAGTTATAGTAATATTTTATTTTTAAAATAAAATAAGTTTATATTTTAATTTTAATTTTAATTTTAATTCAAATTATATTTTATTTTAATTAAAAATGGCATCAAACAGCATTATAGTAATACGAAAGTGATAAAAGTATATAGATATTTTGGTTTAACTTAAACGTATAGGTAATATGGTTTTCTGGTGTCACGTTGCAGCTGTGTTGGAACGAGGAGCACGGAGACGAAGGATCTTTAATGAACCACAAAGCAGGGAACACAGGGCAGGCAAGAGACACACGTAGCACACAACTTGAAGCAATGAAATGACATTAACACCGGACAAAGGAACGGACAACACTTTAAATACTAAACGAGGGAAGACGACAAGACACACCTGAACCAAATGAACTCAATCAAAAGAAGAAGCGGGGAGCACATGGGGAGAAAAACACAACAAAACAGGAACACCAGACTGACACCTGCTTGAATCAACAAAAACTCAAAGTATTATGTTATCTGAACAACATTAATTATCTAAGTTGATTTGTCAAAAAAAGATGTGATAAATCATGTTTTTTTGTTTTGTTTTTTTTTACAGTGAATGTCTGTAAATTAATGCATGAAGTAATGTATGCAATATAAGTCACTTTGGATAAAATTGTCTGCTAAATGCATCAATGTAAATGTACATGAGTGCAATAAACTAAAATAAAATAAATGATTTAACAAAAAAACTATTCTACCAAGAGTTTCATAGCCTTGAAGTTCCACATTTCATTAGAATGTTCTAAATAAGCTGGAATGATCTTTAGTTAACAGATGATAATAAAAATAGCAAAAAAAATATATATATATGTCAATAACATAAAGAACATTTTCTTGAGGTGCAACCAAATTGCAACAAAGAACTCTTGAAGATCCTTCATTTTAAAAGAGTGTTTGTGAGATATACAAACTCAAATTGAAGTGAGGTGGCTGTTTTGAAGAGGGAGCAGGTGGGTTCTCACCGGGGCAAGCTGTCCTTGAAGATGATTTGCAGGCATGTTGCTCACTTACTACCTTTCAGAATCGAAAATTGTAATTCACTTTCTGAAGCTTCCAGCTGTGCTGCGTAATCCCCCTCTTACAGGAAAAAAAGTGCATAAAAGAAAGCCGCTCCAAATGTTTTTAATGGGAAAATGAGTGTCTAATCAATTCAGGCCACAATAAAAGAGCAGACAAAGGTTATTCTCCATCCAAAGCATGGTATCAAACTCTCTGTCATTTTATTTCTTCTCACAAACCTTTAAGTAAAATGAGTCACATGTCCTTATGTGATGGAGCTAGGAGATGGACGACCTGCTGTGTGGAGCATTAGTAAGTTCTAAGCAATGAAGGCTTTTACGAGGTTACATCAGGTTTAGATGTGAGAGCGAGTTTTGTAAGACAGATGCAAGATGCATTTTTGGAAGAGGAATATACAGAGAACTTTAAATGCATGCTAAGTGAAATTCTGAGCCTATTGTATTTTTATTTATTTATTTATTTAGTTAGTTAGTTAGTTGGTTAGTTGGTTGGTTGGTTGGTTAGTTGTTGTGTTAAATGCTTTTAGTATATTGGTCTTGTTATAATGTGTTGTGAAGCCAAAGACAAATTTCCACTTGAGAACAGTAAAGTAAAAAGTAAAGTAAATGGATAGTTCACCCAAAAATGAAAATTCTGTCATTATTTACTCACCCTCAAGTTGCTCCAAATTTGTATGAGTTTCTTTCTTTTGTGTTATTTTTTTTCTTCTCCATACTGTTGTAGTCAGTGGTATAGAAGCCTGTTTCCAGCATTGAATAAAAAATATAAAAAGTTTTTTTTTTTTTTTTTTTTAGGTTTAGATGTGAGAGCGAGTTTTGTAAGACAGATGCAAGATGCATTTTTGGAAGAGGAATATACAGAGAACTTTAAATGCATGCTAAGTGAAATTCTGAGCCTATTGTATTTTTATTTATTTATTTATTTAGTTAGTTAGTTAGTTGGTTAGTTGGTTGGTTGGTTGGTTAGTTGTTGTGTTAAATGCTTTTAGTATATTGGTCTTGTTATAATGTGTTGTGAAGCCAAAGACAAATTTCCACTTGAGAACAGTAAAGTAAAAAGTAAAGTAAATGGATAGTTCACCCAAAAATGAAAATTCTGTCATTATTTACTCACCCTCAAGTTGCTCCAAATTTGTATGAGTTTCTTTCTTTTGTGTTATTTTTTTTCTTCTCCATACTGTTGTAGTCAGTGGTATAGAAGCCTGTTTCCAGCATTGAATAAAAAATATAAAAAGTTTTTTTTTTTTTTTTTTATGTCTCACAATTCTGACTTTTTTCTAAGAATTATGTGATACAAACTCGCAATTGCAAGTTATAAAGCCAGAATTGTGGGATATAAACTGACTTTTTTTCTCAGGAATTCTGACTTTTTATTCTCACAATTAATTGTAAGTTTATATCTCGCAATTCTGACTTTATAACACATAATTACAGCTTATATCATGCGATTCTGACTTTATATCTCACAATTTCAAATTTGTTTAGTGCAATTCTGTCAGAATTGCGAGACAAAAAGTTGCAGTTAACTTTTTTATTTTTATTCAGTGGCGAAAACAAGCTTCCATACAATGTGGACCAACAGCTATTTGGTTACCAAAATTCTTCAAAATATCTTCTTTTGTGTTTAACAGAAGAAAGAAACCGATACAGGTTTGGAACAACTTGATGTTTAGTAAAAGATGACAGAATTTTCATTTCCGGGTGCACTGTCCCTTTAAACATCATGCATTCTCTTAGCTCTTTTTATTTCAGAAGTTGCTGTATTAGTAATGAACAGTTGCTAAGTGAGACTAATAAGATTGCTAAAGAATCGATTTTTTTTTTTTTCTTTTGCATTTTAGGCAAACAAATGAATTGCAATGAAAGGACGGGCCGTTTAACAACAATTAAGCCATTGAGTAATTAGATGTGATGTTTAACCCACTCCATGGGAAAAACTCAGCTGAATAAAACAGATTGAGAGACAAATTGTGGATGAACGGCACACCCACTGTTGAGCAGTGGGCAGCAGTATCTCAGTATGTAAGGCGTACGGATAGATGCTCACATTATGAGTGGGGCGGGCGAGGGTTGGATCTGTGCCAGTAAGAGCAGCTGGGGCAAACGCTTGCTGGAGACACTATGACCCCCTTGTGTTCTTCCAATGTACCGTCTGTGTAATTGCGTTAATCTATGACAGCAGAGACCTGATCTATCATATAATGATGGCATTATCTCTTTCCCATGAAATTAAATGCATAGAGTTCTGCTCATTCAGGATCAGTGCTGCCCCTTCTGGAGGTCTCTGTAACACATAAAAAGCATGTATGTTTTGTGTTTGTGTGTGTATGTGTGTATATATACAGTATACACTGAAAGAAAAAAAAAAACAGTGTAGAAACAATTTTTCATTCAGAAATTGCTAGTAAATTTCACAATGAATTAAACAAATCAGCAAGTAACGCATTGAACAAAAAGACTGAAATATTTATTTTCTTGAAAAATGTACTTTGTTTATAAACAATTATTTGTTTATCTTTGAACTTGTGTATTTATTTATTTACTTACAGTGTGTATCTGGGATATTATATTTGAATAAAACTAAAAGTAAAACCCTAAAAAAATGTTTCTTGAAATAAAATGTATTTTACTTTAAGTTAAACTTGATGTAATAAAATTACTGAAATAAAATTAATAAATTACATTTAAATATATATGTTAAAAAATAAAACAAAAAAGGGTAATTGCGACTTTTTATTGCAGCTTTTTTTCTTAGAATTGCATGATATAATCTTACAATTGTGAGAAATAAAGTTGGAATTGCGAGATATTTTTCTCTCAATTCTGACTTGACTTCTCAGGATTTCAAGTTTATATTTCACAATTCTCACTTTATAACACAATTGTGACTTTGCATAGTGCAATTCTGAGAAAATTCAGAATTGTGAGAAGTAAACTCACAATTGCGAGAAAATAAATCAGAATATGAGACAAGTCACAATGAACTTTTTTACATTAAAAAAATAAATAAAAATAACAAAAACACAACAAAATTATTTCAGAATCCTGAAAAAACATGTATCATGCTATCCACAAAAATATTAAGCATTAATATCGAACATTGATATGCATATATATATATATATATATATACAGTGGGTACGGAAAGTATTCAGACCCCCTTAAATTTTTCACTCTTTGTTATATTGCAGCCATTTG